CTGAGACTGTGAGACTGTGAGACTGTGAGACTGTGAGACTGAGACTGTGAGACTGAGACTGTGAGACTGTGAGGCTGTGAGACTGAGACTGTGAGGCTGTGAGGCTGTGAGACTGTGAGACTGTGAGACTGTGAGACTGTGAGGCTGTGAGACTGTGAGACTGTGAGACTGTGAGACTGTGAGGCTGTGAGACTGTGAGACTGTGAGACTGTGAGGCTGTGAGGCTGTGAGACTGTGAGGCTGTGAGGCTGTGAGACTGTGAGACTGTGAGACTGAGACTGTGAGACTGAGACTGTGAGACTGTGAGACTGTGAGACTGTGAGACTGTGAGACTGAGACTGTGAGACTGTGAGACTGTGAGACTGAGACTGTGAGACTGAGACTGTGAGACTGTGAGACTGAGACTGTGAGACTGTGAGACTGTGAGACTGTGAGACTGAGACTGTGAGACTGAGACTGTGAGACTGAGACTGTGAGACTGTGAGACTGTGAGACTGAGACTGTGAGACTGTGAGACTGTGAGACTGTGAGACTGAGACTGTGAGACTGTGAGACTGAGGCTGTGAGACTGTGAGACTGTGAGACTGAGACTGTGAGACTGTGAGACTGTGAGACTGGAGACTGTGAGACTGTGAGACTGGAGGCTGTGAGACTGTGAGACTGTGAGACTGTGAGACTGTGAGACTGTGAGACTGTGAGACTGTGAGACTGTGAGACTGAGGCTGTGAGACTGTGAGACTGAGACTGTGAGACTGTGAGACTGTGAGACTGTGAGACTGTGAGACTGTGAGACTGTGACTGTGTGGCTGTGAGGCTGTGACTGTGCGGCTGGCCCCTCCTCTCCTTCTCCTTCTGTTGCTGCTAGTTCTTCCCCTTGTTTTCCCTCTCTAGTCTAGACTTCTCCGTTTGTTCTCTGTGCCTGCCAGCACCTCCTGTCCTCTCTCCTGCCTCGCCTTTGGCCATTAAGCTCTTTATTAGATCAATCAGGTGTTTCAGACAGGAAAAGTAACACAGTGCCACAGAGTTAACCACATGCAACATGAAAGAATGTCATACGTCTTCGTATCATTAAATATTCCACAGCATAATTGAATGTAACACATCTTAATGTTCCACAACAAAAGAGTTCAACTTCAATTAAAAACAAACAAACATCTAAAACACTTTAAAACCACCCTCCTTTTTGGTGGTTTCAGCATAGGCCTTAGCTCCCTGGCTGTCTTCAGCCGCTAGTACATTATAAGAGGGACACTATAATTTAGTGCAGTTTCAGATTCACAGAAAAATATTGAGGCAAAAGTGCAGTTGTCCTGGAGTTAATCTCAGTTTCCCCTGTGTTCTAGTTTTCTTGCATCTCTGTGGTAAATCCCATGATCAATAGCAACTCAGGGAAGAAAAGGCCTGGTTCCTGTTCTACTTCCAGGAAAATTAGGGAACTCAAGACAGGACCTGGAGCAGGGTTCATGGAGAAGTGCCTCCCAAGACCTGCCCAGCGTGCTTGCTCAGAGCACCCGGGACCTCCTGCGCAGGTGCAGCACCACCCACAGTGGGCTGGGCCCTCTGACAGCAATCGTTAAAAAAAAGATCCCAATGGACACGCTCACAGGCAGCCTAATGCAAGCTCTGCCTCAGTTGAGAGACTCTCTTCCCAGCTGACTCTAGTTTGTGTCAAGTGACAGACAGTAACCAGCATAGTGTGATTAGTATATTGTATGCATTTGGTCCATGAACCAACACAGATGTATGCCTTAGTTAGTTTGAACCATCACAAAAGGTACGACCCTCAGATGGAATCAACAAGAATTAATTTTCACCTAGATCCTGGCGTCAGCAGGTCTGTTCTCTCTTGAGGCTTCTCCTTGCGTGGCATGTAGCCACTTTCTCACGGTGTATCTCTGCTGTGTTTTTGCTTGGTTCGTGTTTCTTCTTATATGGACAGTGGCCATATTGGATGAGGGCAAAGCCCAATAGCTTCATATTAACCCCACTGTGTCTTTTAACAGCATCCTACCTCCATACAGTCATATTCTGAAGGGTTTGGACTCCAACACGTGAGTGCTAGGGAAACACAACTCAGCCTGAAGACCACATTATTGTTAACCGATCGCCATGGGTACATGAGCGCTGTCCCTTAGTGCTGGATGCTCTGTGTGTGTGGACAATCATTTAACGCTCTGTGTCACGTAGGGCAGTTTGCGTCCCCAGCATCCAGTGCTCCAACAGCCCCTCTGTTTCCTTCACCCGGCAACAGCCATCTTTCCATCACCTCTCAGACTGGCCTTTCCCAGCGTGTCAGGGAGTTGTCGTCAGAATGTCGGTCTGATCTTCCTCCACTACTAACGTGTTTGCTCTCAACACACCGTGTGTGTCAAATCATTCCACTGCTATTTGTGGCAAAAAGTATTCTCTCCCCATAGAATTGCCTTAGCACCTGTGTTGTCAACGCAGAAGAGCTGATTTCTGGGCCTGGCAAGGTGGCTCAGGGGGAGAAAGCGCTTGCTGCCAAGCCTGGCGACCTGAGGTCCAGCCCCGTAGCCCCCATGGTAGAAGGCAAAACCCGACCCCGGCAAATGGTCCTTCGACCTCCGCACATGTGCTTGGCGTGTGTGTGCGTTCTTACACGCTCTCTTTCTCTCTCTGTCACACACAATGACTAAATAAAGAATGAAAAAACGGTGGTATAAGAGTTGGGATTCTGTCTTCTCCGTTCTGCCATTGATCCGTAGTCCTCTGTGCCCGTGCCACACTGGACACACAACAAAGCCATAAAATGGACATTGCTGTCTCTGATCCTTTCTAAGCCATGCTGGTTATCCAGGAAACTTTGCACATTCATTTAGAATCTGTGGTAGAATATTATTTTCAGGTGTGTGACTTTTGTTTAACTCTGTGAAGCTGTGTTACTGTGCCTGTCTAAAACACCTGGTGGTCCTAATAAAGAGTCGCGCGGTCAATAGTGAGGCAGGAGCAAGGATGGGCGGGGCTGGCAGGCAGAGAGGATAAACAGGAGAAACAAGGATGAGAAGGGGCGCACGCCTTTAATCCCGGCACTCGGGAGGCAGAGGCAGGCGGATCTCTGTGAGTTCGAGGCCAGGCTGGCCTACAGAGCGAGTGCCAGGACAGGCTCCAAAGGTACACAGGGAAACCCTGTCTTGAAAAACCAACCAAACAAACAAAACAAAGCAAGGAAGAGAGAAGGAGCAATGAGAACAAGGGGAGGAGGCCTCAGGGGCCAGTCAGCCAGCCATGGCAGGAGACATTAAGAAAAAGCTGGCAAAAAGCGGGCCAAGCTGAGGCTGGGCATTCGTAAGTAAGAATAAGCCTCCCCGTGTGAGTTATTTGGGACCTGGGTGGCGGGCCCCTCAAAAAAGCCAAAAAAGTAAAACACCATACAAGAATCAGCTTATATGTTGCTACCAAAAGCTTGCTGGGACTTTGCTAGGTCTGGCTTTGAACTTACAGAACGATTGTGGGAGGAATAATGGGAAAGAGCTGTTGAGCCGTCTGACCCATGAACACCACATTTCATTTACATAGGTCGTTAGTTCCCAGCATTGTTTACACTGTCTTTTCAAGGCCCCTTCTTCCTTTGGTAAGTATATTCCCAAATATTTTACTTTCTTTAATTTTATGATTAAAGGAGTGGCATCTTTAAATTTAAACCTTTTTAGTTCCAGAGGATTTCAAATGAGGGTGACCGTGTTTTCATCCTATAGAAACCGAAGCTGTACATTTCCAAACAAAGTGATGTGAAATCCCAAATATTTTTACATTTACTGTCTTCATTGAATTGAAACTGTGTATTCATTCATGGCATAAAAGAATAACTTCAAAAAGAAAAGGGTAGCCTTGTGTAACCACAGATACCCTTGGTGCTTTGGACCGGCTTAGCTGGGCGGTTTTCCAGTCTCGGTGGGTTTTCTGTGTGAACACAGTGACTTTGTGTTGGGTAGATACTGCTGCTTCTTGGGCTCTCTAGAGGTGGGTTGGGACGAGCAGGGCTCCTGAGTCACATCTCCTTTGTAGTAACAGGTTGGCCTACACTTGGTTTTGTGATGGAAGTGGGTGTCTGAGAGACAATTTGAGACACACTGGACCCCATGAGACCCAGGTTCTCCTGGTACATTATCTGTCACTTGGCCCCGTTCTGTTGCTTAAGTGAGTCACAGGCCAGCCTAGACAGAATGGGAGAAGAACAGACCCCATTTCTTAATGGGAAAAAAAAAAAACCTTTAAAAACCACACACAAAATCTGTATCCTGTGTGGATACAGGAAGGGAATCTTTGTGGCTGTGGGAACAATTGTATATCTTGTAATTTAGTCCATCTAATTAAACCTGAATCCTCCCTTTTTAGGCTTGGCGAGTTATTCATTTTCTGAATCTCAACAGGGACAAGTGCCACCTCTCTCAGAAGGTGGAAAACAGAAAGGCTACAATATCTGGTCTCTCCTGCTCTGAGGCAGCAGCCATTCATGTTTCACGGGAAGCATGTGGGGCTTAGTGTTTTGGGGGCCATGCATTTGGCCAGAACTGGACACCGTAAGCCTTTATTGAAGTAATTGAAACAAGTTACCTAGAGATGGATCCAGCTGGTCTCTCTCTGTCTGCCCTGTGAACTGACTTCACCTCTGCGGGGAGAACTTTGATGTTGCCTCGATAAACCTCCTTGGCTCCAGGGTCTCAGTGAGGGGTGGGGGAGGTCTGGCAGGGTCCACAAGGCTTTGGCAATGCTCAGTCTCCTGGGCTGCATTTTCATTTCCATGACCCAGTCCGTTTTCTGTGCTTGGAGCAATGAATTGTGTGGGTCTTTGAAGAAAACACAGGTGTCCATTATAGAACTGCTGTTTTGGCGTGATCTGGTATCTCACCGTTGCTTACTTAGTTTGTGAAGTGAATTCTGCTCCCAGGTGTGGCACCAGTGACCCTGGCTGGACCCTTGAGGTCTGTGGGAGTCAGCATCCAGCCTGGGAGCAGCATGCATCTCTTGCTTTCCTGCAGGCAGCCTCTGTGGCGACGGCACCAGTGCATGCTACCTGTTGCCTGTCTTTGATACTGTGTTTGTGCGGAGGAAGAACCGTTGCCAAGGACTGGGGACAGCCATGCTGAGGGACTTCTGTGACACCTTTCCCGAAGATGAAGCCCTGGGTATCAGTTGCCCGATTTCTCCTGCAATGTACAGAGGTAACCCCTACCTCCCTGTGTGAGCATTTGGGTAAGAGTGACTAGAGGCTAACACGTGCACCGCAGGGACTGAAGCATGAGTCTCAGAGTTCTTCTGGGTTGATGTGGGCTGTGACTGCTCCTTCAGCTTCGGCATGACCAGGACCTTCCTGTTTGATTTGCAAAGAGGACCTCTCTAGGCCTGAGAAATGATGGCATTTGGAAATGCAGAAGGTGCCTGACCCACCATGATGCCACTTGGGGTTTTTAAATTTTGTTCTTTTAAAATAATTAACTTTATTTTATGTGTATTACAATTGTGAGCTGCCATGTGGGTACTGGGAATTGAACTCAGGTCCTCTGGGAGAACAGCCATGCTCTTAATCACTGAGCTATCTCTCCAGTCCCGGACTTTTCAATTTTATAAGTGCGAATGCGATACATACTCAGTAGAAATCACACTTCACATTTAGAGTTCTGACTTCCTCCTGGCCTTGTCATGTGTGTTCCCAAACAGTCTGTAGAGTGGCAACAGTCGGAATTCTGATACAAATATTCACATGAAGATTTTGCACACTGATTAAAGAATAGACTTGTGTTAGATGGGTTTGTCCTGCAGGGGCTCTGCTCTGAGTAGTTTTCTTTTCCTTTAGAAGTGTGTGTGTGTGTGTGTGTGTGTGTGATTTACTAGAATGGCTTACAGGCGGTGGTCCAGCTATCTAACGATGCCTGTCTACCAACTGGAGGTCCCAGAGTCTCACAGTTGTTCAGTCCACGAGTGATGGGGAAGTCCTGTGTATATGTCAATAAAGCACTGTTGGCCAATAGGGAAGTAAGATAGGTGGGACTAGGAGTCGAGGAGGACTCTGGGAAGGAAAAACACAGGAAGTCGAGATGTAACCGCCATGGGGTAGGAAGCCTGGAAATTTCTCCGGTAAGAGAAATACTTAGATTAACAATTATGGGATAATTACTTAAGTCAGAGCTAGCCAGTAAGAAACAAGCAAGGCCAACAGCTTCATAATTAATATAGCCTCCTGTGTGTTTATTTGGGACTGATGCAGCTCTAGAACCAGGCTGGCGGGAAGGCTTCTCTTTACACACAAGTCCGGATGTCTCAGCTGGTTTTCCACATAAGCTGGAATCCTGAGGAAGTGTGTGCTAATGCTGGTGAAGGCGTGAACTTGCCAGTGAGATCAAGCAGGCAAAGAGAGTCAGCATGTCCTTTATACAGCTGTCAACAGAAAGCCTGGCTCAGAATAAAGGTGGTTCTACTGTCCTACCACAAAGATCTGGTTTTCCCATTTTAAATTATTTAATTAAGAAAAATCCCTCACAGGTGTGCCCAGCCATTTGCATTTTAGTTAGTTCCAGTTGTAGTCAGTTAACAGCCACGAGTAGCCATCACAGGCTCCCTTGCAGGGAGAGAGACCCTAGGGGTGCACACAGCCCTGAGAGGACACTGAGGAGACCATCAGGAAGCTCGGGGAGAGGGCTTGGAGCATCCTGACCCAAGGTACTCTGCATCCAGAGCCTTGAAGAATCAACTTGTGTTGTCATGGTGCTGGCAGCCCATCATAGTTGAGGAATTTGATTCTAAAAATTCAAACTGGCTATGGCTTGAAGACATTAAAAAATGGCACTTGTACTGAACATGTTCAGACCTTTCCATTGCCGTTTGGCATCCTCTAAGCATCACAGTCTAGTAGCTATTGACATGGCATCTACAAAGCATCAGTTGCTGAAAGGCATCGAGATGGGGGACCGCGCACAGGAAGACGTGTGTATTGCGAGTGTAAGTGCCGTGCCTGACATTTTATGTAAATGTAGCATCTTTGGATTAGGTGCCTGGAAACTCAGTGCAGGATGGATGGAAGTGGGGTGTGAGGTGAGCCAGATGATTCTGTGCCATGGGAAGTTGGTGAAAGGGCTTCCGGTGAAGCAGAGTCAGATGGTGAGAATGTGTACAGTAGCCACAGAAGGGATGGAAGGAAGGGCCGTGTGCAAGGGCCCAGAGAGAGCTGACTGGCAGAGTCAAACTCATGGCTTGCCTCTTTTCTTCCCAGTCCTCAGGCAGTTCCTGTTGACCTGTCCAGGCGAGAGGGGGCGCTTGTGGGAGGTGGAGCCCCCAGGGGCCTGGGGCCAGCGTGCCAACATCTGGCTCAAGGTTTATCTTCAGGAGGCGAGACTTCAAGATGGTGAGTGGGATGGGCATCTGCTCAGAGGTCTGGTCACCTTAGCACCCGTAGCTGCCCCAAATGGGGACAGTTGCTCTTCCACGGACTGAGTCTGAATCTTGTCGATGTTTCAGTTCTCGAGTATATAGTTGAAAAAGGAGGGGCTGGGACCCAGTTGGAACATTTGTTCTGTATTTCTCACCCATGACCACCTCACCTGCACGGCTCCGAAAGACCTTCTTCACATCTGGAACTGGAAGCTCCAGTTAGACTACACAGACAAAGATCAACTACCAGATAGACCACTGCACAGACCAACTACTAGATAGACTGCTACGAAGACCACTACTAGATAAGCGTCTACAAACATCATCGTCTGTTCTTTTTGAGGGAGTAACGTGTGCCCGTGGTTGAGAATTGCAAATGTGCTGTGATAACCCTCTCTTCAGTCTCCCCTGTGCAGGCTGTGGCATGGCCGTATGGTAGCGCTGCATAGTGCCGTGTAAATCATTGTGTACGTGCATGCATGTGTGGTACATGTTTGTGAGGAATGTGCGTATGTGCCCGGGGCACATGGGTTGATATTGGGCGGCTTCCTTTGTCATTGTCCATTTTAACGTTTAAGTCAGGGTCTCTCAATGCATCTGGTACCCACAGCTAGACTGGCTAGCCACTGAGCTCCAGGGACATCTTCGCCCTCCTGTCCTCATGCTGGAGTGACAGGAGTCAGCCATCATGCCTGGCTTTTATGCGGGTGCTGAGGATTTGAACTCAGATTCCCAAGCTGACTGAGCCATCTGAGTCAGCCCTGCGTCGGCTCACTATTATTATTCTTTTACTTTTTTTTTTTTTTTTTTTTTGGTTTTTCGAGACAGGGTTTCTCTGTGGCTTTGGAGGCTGCCCTGGAACTCGCTTGGTAGTCCAGGCTGGTCTCGAACTCATAGAGATCCGCCTGCCTCTGCCTCCCGAGTGCTGGGATTAAAGGCGTGCGCCACCACCGCCCGGCACTATTCTTTTACTTTTTTGTGTGGGTAGCTTTCATCCATCTACACAGTGCCTTACAACTATACCCGTCCTTCCTGACTTCACATCCACTTTGTAAAATCATTTAAAACTTTTTATGTTTCATCGCATCCAGTTAGTGCCGCCTGTAAGTGTCTGGGCTTGGGCGTCAACCACTGGGGCACAGGTAATCTACAGCTGGCCACAAGATAAACAACTGTCCTTCCCCAGGCAGCACCAACCACCCTCCAATGGCTTCTCAGCTACAGGCGGGGCCTTGTCAGCTCCTCTTTCATCCATGCTGGTTTCGGCTGGCTTAATCTGGTACCGTTCAGTTGCCGTGAGTGCTCGTGGCAATGGCCATCTTTATCCCTTTCAGCGGCAGCGAGCTGGGATGCCCTGCAGACACACTGTTCATCTTCTGTTGACCCAGACAGTGCCCTGGCTTGCCAGTGAGGTTTGGATGGAGGGATTTTAAGGGAGCAAGGTGGGGCTTTGATGGTAGGTTCCCCCGGGGAGGTGGGACCTTCAGATGGCCAAAGGGGAATGCATACATGCTGGTCCCAGGATTTACAGGTGGCTCTTCTGACTCCCACGGGGAAGGTTTCACTTTACAGTACAGGGTGGGGGCTTAGGTGCCTGGACATTTTGCCAACAGGTGCCTCTTATCCCCAAGAGACAAGCTTCCAGCAGTTTAGATGTCCTGGCCTAAGTTAAAGTAGTGGCCCCCTCCTCCATGGTGTGGGCATCCATCACATCCATCGGGATGTTTCTGCAGAAGCAGGTGAGGCTCGTTAGGGGCCGATGGGCCAGAGGTGCAGGCTGCCTTTCTGCATGGGTGACTGACTTCACTCAGGTGGCGACAGGCAAGGGCCTGAGACCTTATTGATGGTAATAGTGATAGGTCTTGCCTTAATGGCTGCCCTCAGCTGTAAGGCTTAATGGGCCCTTACAGCTGTTAATGAGGGGAGGAGTGCCCGGGAAGGAGACGGGCAGGGCTGTGACTGTCATCCTAATGAGGCAGTTAAGTGCCTTGCCCCGTGGCATTGTGTTAGCAGGGAAGGGAAGCCAGCCTGCGCCCCTGGGCATGGCAGCGCTGGCCATCCGCACAGGTTTATAGCTTCACAAATGAGGGTCCAACCCTGTACTTAGACACATGCCGCTGTTCCTTGGCTGGCAGTGGAAAGAGCAGATGCATATCGGAATGTGGAAATGGCCTGGCCTGGCCAGAGGGGCTGGGCTGGGAGGAGGATGCTTTGGCCTAATTGGGGAGGTGGCTTCCCGATGGAGAATTCCATGGGGGTTGTGGGGCATGTGTGTGGTGGGGGGTGTTACTTGAAGAACTGGGAGTCTGTGTGGTCTGGTGGGAGGAAGCTGGTCTGGAAATCAGATGCCAAACCTGTCCCTTTAGTCCACTCCGAGGGTCACCAACTCCCACTTCCAAACAGCAAATGAGAGGACCTTCAGAGATGGTTCCAGAAGTCTTTTGCAGGAACAAGAGCCATTGCCGTAATTAGGCTATAATTAGATGACTCAAATTCTGTAATTTTTGAGAAAAAAAATTAGGGGTATTTTTTATCCTTAAACCCCCAATTTGTTTCCAGTGCCACCCTCAGGGTTCCCAGACAGTTACTTTAGACCAGCGGTTCTCAACCTTACGGATGCTGCGTCTCCTTAATACAGTTCCTCATATTGTGGCGGCCTCCAGTCATACAAGTATTTTGTGGCTACTGCATAACTGTAGTTCTGCTACTGTGATGAATCGTAATGTAAATAATCTGATATGTGACCCCACCCAAAGGGGTCTCGGTCCACAGGTTGAGCAGCCGTGTTTTAGAGGCTCTGACTCACTTTGTGTGTGAGCAGCAGTCGTGTTTTAGAGGGTCTGACTCACTTGGTGTGTGAGCAGCCGTGTTTTAGAGGGTCTGACTCACTTGGTGTGTGAGCAGCCGTGTTTTAGAGGGTCTGCCTCACTCGGTGTGTGAGCAGCCGTGTTTTAGAGGCTCTGCCTCACTTGGTGTGTGAGCAGCCGTGTTTTAGAGAGCCTGCCTCACTCGGTGTGTGAGCAGCCGTGTTTTAGAGAGCCTGCCTCACTTTGCTCGTGGTGGAAGTGGACCTGTAAGCAGCTTCTGGCTTTGGAGAAGCCAGCAACAGGCACGTTTCAAAGGGAGAGCCTGTGTGTGAAGCGCCGTCGTTAGTGGGACTTTGAAAAGTTTGTGCAGTCCTGGCTGTTGATAACATCTGTGGCTTGTAATGAATGACCTTGGGGAATTTTTAGATTTTTTTCAGACCCTTTGAGAGAAGCAGTTTGTGGGAAATGCAGTTTCTCCCTGTTCTCAGTTACATGGGAGCCCTTTGAAACTTGACCGATTGGATCATAATTCCTTCTGATGTGATCTCCTAGTCAGTCTGCACATGCCTGAAGTCTCTTTACTGGAGGGGATGAAATTGAATATGTCAACAAGGCAGTGTTCTTTTGCAAAAAAAAAAAAAAAATACTGGTGGTGGGATTGCATACAGCTCCAAAAATTATTTTACCTTCTAAAGGGTAAAAAAAGAAATAAAAAAAAATAAAAAATTATCTTACCTTCTAAAGGGTAAAAAAAGAAATAAAAAAATAAAAAATTATTTTACCTTCTAAAGGGTAAAAAAAGAAATAAAAAAAATAAAAAATTATTTTACCTTCTAAAGGGTAAAAAAAGAAATAAAAAAATAAAAACTTATTTTACCTTCTAAAGGGTAAAAAAAGAAATAAAAAAAATAATTATTTTACCTTCTAAAGGGTCTCAGTTTTCTTTTTCCAGATGGCCTTATCATGGATTCACTCGTCATCCATAGGAAAAATGATTTTCTTCAACTTACACTTATCTAAGGCAGAAATAAAAAACCTACGTGGGTTATGTGTATAGAGATGTGAATCTTGAGATGGAAAGTCGAGCCTGCTTTTCTAAGCTGGAGGGCCAGCAAACGAGCCCTAGTCTTGTTCCAGTCTGCTCTTTTTTGTTTTTTGTTTTTGTTTGTTTGTTTTTTTTTTTTTTTGGTATTTACGAGACAGGGTTTCTCTGTATTGTTTTGGAGGCTATCCGTCCAGCCCAGCCTCGAACTCATAGAGATCCGCCTGCCTCTGCCTCCCGAGTGCTGGGATTAAAGGCGTGCGCCACCAATGCCCGGCCCAGTCTGCTCTTATTAGCCACACATTACACCATGTAGTAGAGCAACAGCAATTTTACGGTGATCCGGTATGCCTGGGAGTGTGGAGAGCCAAACCAACCTGCGGAGGTGATTTTTGCTGAATGCTGTTCTTTGACAGGTTGTATGGCTCCCTCTAGTGGCCATTGTCCTACATCACAGTCCTGAAGTTCAGCAGGCGCTTATCATGCATTTACCTGAATGTCTGCTTCCCCAGATGTGTACCTTTCTAACTAGTGTATAAAAAATTATGCTTGAGACCCATTTCATGAAAGGAAGCTCACCCTTGACACTGCCTGGAGGACCAGGGCCCAGAGGCAAAGATATCCCTAGAGCCCTAGGATAGAACCAAATAGCAGGACTGGCAAAACAAAACAAAACAAAGCAAAACAAAATCTGCTATACTCATAGAATGGTGCCTCCCCCAATAGTCACCAGAGAGGCTTCGTTCAGCAACGGATGGAAACGTGCAGAGGCCCACAGTCAAGCATTAGGCAGAGCTCGGGGAATCCAGTGGAGGGTCATAGGACCCACTGGTATCAAGGCTACGACAAGAAAACCCACAGAACCAACTAACCTGGGCTCATAGGGGCTCCCAGAGCCTGAGCTGACAGCCAGGGAGCCTGCGTGGGACTGACCTAGGCTCTCTGTGTGTATGTCACAGTTGTGTAGCTTGTTCTTCTTGTGTGACCTCTGACAGTGGGAGCAGGGGCTGCTCTGACTCTGATGCCTGCTTTTGGGACCCTCTCCTCCTACTCAGTTGCCATGTCGAGCTTTCATAGGAGAGGGGATGCCGGTCTCACTGCAGCCGTGGCTGGTTGATATTCCTGGGAGGTCTGCCCTTTTCTGAAGAGAAGCAGAGGAGGAGTGAAGCGGGAATGAGGGGAGCTGGGAGGAGAGGTGGGAGGGGAAATAGCAGTCGGGATGTAAAAAAAAAAAAAAAACCTATGGGACATTAATCGGCTAGGAATGAAATACAAGCAAGCGTTTGATTTTTGCTAGTACAAATGACCTCATAGCACATGAAACATCAGGAATGTTAGAAACCTGAGGATGTATTCATCCGCTCCATCCACCCATCCATTGTTTCAGGGATTCTTTCATTTGGTAACAGTTCGCGGTGCAGGCAGGCACTTTCTTAGGCATTAGAGAGTCAGTGGGTAAAGCTGGTGAAACTTCTGTGGTCATTTATAAACTATGAAGTCCATGGGCAGTTACTCCTGCACGACATAAAAACTGTATTAGAGAGAGATAAAGTGTACTGAAGGGTTTCCAAATGCTTAGAATTAAATTTTTGTCAAACCAAATTCTGCTAATTTATACTGTTATAGAAAACATTTACTAATATATAGATAACAACTGAGTGATCTATTTGTTGTGTAGTCGAAAAATCACACGTATATCTTCAGCTCTAATGCAAAGCTGCCTGTCTTTTCCCCCACGGAGAACTGATTCCCAAGACACTCACTGATTTCAGAGTGTGGGGCTGCATACAGGACAGGGAAGTCACCCTTTCCAAATTGGTGCTGACTTGGCAGCAAGTGGGGGTGGGACATTTAGTTAGCTGTGAGTACTGGCAGCAGTGCGCAGAGAGGACCTGGGAAAACACTCGGGTACACAGGTCCCCCACCCCCTTGCTGCTGGGAAATGCTCCAACAGAGCCCCCGTTTTGATATTTTTTTGAGACAGACTCATGTATCTCAGGTTGGTCTCGAACTAGCTGTACTGCTGGAGAGGACCTTGAACTCTGGTCCTTCTGCCCACTCTGCTTGAATACTGGGATTCCAGGCGTACACCGCTCATGGTTTATGTGATGCTCGGGGTGAAAGCCAGAGAGTGTTGTGCGTGCTGAGCCTTCTCCTAGCTGAGCTACATGGCCAGCCCCGAGCCTCCTGCCCCCCTGTGTCCCTTCACACCACGCAGCTCTCCGCACAGGAGTGCCCTATAGCCCAAGCCACAGTGGGGGATCAAGAGGCTGGAGGGGGCCTCAGTGTGTTGGAGGGGTCCTGAGTGCTGGAAGTATTGTTTATCCTCTTCTCTCCTTAGGGAGCGCGGTGCACCCCGAATGTTCTGAAGAGGGCACAGACACTCCCAGGCAGACTTCTCGGGGTGATGGGCCCACACAGTTTGATCATGGAGAAAGCCGTAAGGTATAGCATCGATGTGTCATTCCACAGCCCTTCCGACTACCTAGCCACCACCTTGCTTTTTTAGTGACTGCCTGGCAGCTCCTTGGACTCCCAGGCTGTGGGCTCCTCTTTGGCAGAGGGCCATACTGATGCTGAGTAATACTGAAGAATCTCCCTGTCTCGGGATAGAAGGAAGGGGATATGGAGTCTTTATAATTGGACTTCTTGTGGTTCGCTCTCTCAGTTAGATGAGTGTTCATGAAACCAGAAGGAAACTACGAGACCGGCCCCGATATTGTTGGAGAATTAGTGAAAAATATGAATTTGAAATTCGGCCACAGACCAGAACAAAAGCAATCCCCCTTGCTCCTTTCCCCCTGCCTCCCCGGTCTGGCTGCTAGAAAGAGGACGATGGTATTAGGCCTTCGTATTCTCCAGGGTGACTGGAGTCTTGTGGGAGGAAGGAAGGTTACAGAGTCCTTTTTGGTACCTTGGTGCTCAATATTTGGTAAGATTTGGAGGTTTTTCCTGGAGCCAGCCCATGCACGCACCAGGCAATTGCTCTCAAATCCTCAGGTAGTCAGCTCTAAAACCTAACTCTTTGGTTTTTCAAGACACAGTTTCTATGTATTGTTTTGGAGGCTGTCCTGGAACTTTCTCGGTAGACCAGTCAGGGCCTTGAACTCACAAGAGATCCGCCTGCCTCTGCCTCCCGAGTACTGGGATTAAAGGCTTGCGCGCCAACGCCCGACTAAAACCTAACTCTTGTACAGGAGAAGCAACACAGCTCCTTCTGTTAGGTAGATTATTTGGAGATAGAAGATCCCGCAGAGGCATGAGCTGTTCCAGTAAGTCTTGGATCCTCCTTAAGCTGTATGTGGGCAAGTGTCAGCCCTTGCGTCCTGGCAGAAAGGGGCTCTTGTCTTCTTGGCTTCTGACAGAATGCTGGGCTAATTTAGGGCTCTGTTAGGGCTCTGAGCAGAGGCTATATATAGTAGTTGCCCTTGTCTGGTCACTGAGTTTTAAAATTTCCTTTTAAAGGAAGAGGCGGGAGTTCTGGAGTATTAGAATGTATGCTTGTGTGTCTCGGGATGTCTGCACACTCAAAGGCAGAGTGCCAACTTAAACAACACTGGGTGTAGTGGCATACACCTTTAATCCCAGCACTCGGGAGGCAGAGGCAGGTGGATCTCTGAATTTAAGGCCAACCTGGTCTACAGAGTGAGTTCCAGGCCAGCCAGGAATACACAGAGAAACCTTGTTTGGAAAACATCAAAAACAATTACATTGGCATATATGAATCATTCTCAATGAGTTTTATTATAATATTTCCCAATATATAATGTATTGTGATCATAGTCATTGTCCCATTATCCTCTATCATCCCCTACACACCGCCTCTTCCTCCGGCTGGCACAGTCTGTCCACCTGTTTTCCATGACGTTCCTGAGTCTTGGAGGGGTGGTAGGATGTCACATCGGAGGCCAGGCACACATCTGTCACTCACTCTCAGCACGCTGACCACTTGCGAATCTCTGTAGCCAGCACCTACCACCACAAAGTGCAGATTTTCCTGACCAAAGCTAACAGCAGCGGTAGTCTATGGGTATTTTAACAGGTATATCATGCCCACTTAGTGAAGCAACCACAGTAGCTTTGCCATTGGGGGCCTCTGACCCACCCTGGCCACAGGCTTTTGAGAAGGCTTACAGTGCAAGATGGGAATTTGCTCCTGTAGGGCAGGCCTCCCAGCCAGCCATAAAGCAGCTGGCCATAACAGACTTGGCACCATCTGTCCTGGTTCGTCAGTGGTGTAGCATGCGAGTCCCTCACACGGAAGGAAGCTTCTAGTTCCAGCTTGATATCCTGTTATCCTTTGGCCAGAACACACGGTGCCTGTCAGCAGTAGGATCTTGTCCTGTGGTTCTGGTGGGCAACCAGTCACAGTGCAGTCGCCTGTATTGCTCTGGAACTTCTGGGGCCTCCCAGTCCTATAACCCATATGGAGTAGCCCATACGGAGTAGCCCATCCCAGGCCCTGGAATTTTCATTTGATAACCGGTGGCTTCTGGGAGCAGCTTTTCCGTTTAAGCTGGAATGCAGCTCAGTTGGCAGAGTGCTTGCCTGGCGTGATGGAGCTCTGTATAAACTGGGTATGGTTGTTCACACCTGGAAGCCCTTAGGAAGTAGAGACAGGAAGACCAGGTCATTTTTAGCTTCATGGAGAGTTCAAGTACAGCCTGGAACACATACGACCCCATCTCAAGCAAGCCACACACACACTCCTGCCCTCCTTTCAGGGTATAGTTGTGCCTTGGCGCCTGTGGAAGTTGGCTTCAGGACCCTGCTTGGATGCTCAAGTCCCCTGTTTAAAATGGTGTCCCTGTTTTACTCATCCTCCCAAACACATGACGTCATCTCTCGGTGACCTGGGCACCCAGTGCAGTATAAATATCACATGAATCGTTTTTCAGGGTTGTACATAATAATGACATGACAAGTGTGCCATGCCCAGGACAGCCTGAGCAGTTTTGCAGAGTCTGACTTGTGTTTAATGACTGTTGATCATGCCTCAGACGTCAGGGCTGGCTGCTCTGCTCTGGCCTTACTCAAGTCTTCTGCTGGGCTGTCCGGTAAATGTGTCCCCATGACAAAATGTCATTTCCCTGTGGCTGACTGGTATGTACGAACATGGCTTATCCCTTCTGGTCTCAGCATGCAGGGTAGGGACAAGCCAAGCCAGGTCACCCCAGGCCCTTAGTGTCTAGCACTGTCCAGGATGACCTCATCACAGTGTTTGAGATGAATGCCTTTGGCTTACTTTCTGATTTCAGGAGTGCATCACTGGAGGACAGGAGACACAGAATGACCAAGAATGTGTCAAAAGAGAGGAGGATTCTGGGATGTCCCTGAGACCCCCCTGGGATGAGACGGAGGGCAGGGGAGCCAAGAGGACAGTGGCAGTCGCTGGGCTGGTTGGTGAGCTGTGGCGAAAGCGTGTGCGGCAAGCTCCTCACTCCTCAGAGGTTCATCTGGTCTCACGGAATCTGAGCCTGAGGGCTTTATGAGGTGCTGCTAGTCTCTGGTGCTGGAGATGGTGTCCTCAGGTCCTGCCTGTCTCTGTTCCCCTTATAGGCTCTGGAATAAGGTGTCTGAAGAAGTGCCCTGGTAAGCCGAATTCTCTCTGGGAGCCACTTTTACAAGTCAACTGTTGGCAAATCCAAGACTCTGGAAGCTCACTTGTTAAAAGTAACAAGGCTTCCACTCCTCAGGAGGATGCTATGCATGGGACCGTATGAAGGGGTCTCTTGGCAGAAATGGACTCAGAGATAGGCCATGGTACCCATCCATGATACACATTCAGCCTCGTTGTAACCTCAGAACTCAATGCCAGAGGTTTTCAGGGGGTCAAGTTCCTTCTCTGGGGACTTGTTAGTCACTTCAGAGCTTCTTGAGGGCAAGCACCAGGGGTGTATAATGTCCACTATGCCAGGGCCAGATGGTGCCCACTGTGGGCCTTGGGCTATTTCTGGCCCAATATAGTGCCCGTGCTACCTTCAATGCTACTGGATTCAGCTGTCTGGACATGGGGTGGGATTTCTCCCAGAGAAAGCTGGTCTGGTACTTTGTTTCCTGAACGGTCAAAGGACACAAGCTGTGGGACCTCAGTTACTTACTATTCATCAAAGCACCCGTCTCTCTGCCCATTTCTAGTACATGAATATATATATACACACACAGCTCTCCTTTTCTCTCTCTTCCTTCACCCCTTCTCTTCCTGTCTTCCCCTTCCTCTATCCATTTATATTTATCTAGTTAATTTATATCTATTTCCCAATTCACCTCTGTATCCTCTCTCAATTTGTCCTCTTACTTCCATCCAACTCTCCAACCATCCACCCACCCACCCATCCGTCTACCCGTGCATCTTCTACCCATTCATCCATGCATCCATGCATCCACCCACCCACCCACCCATCCAGCCAGTGTGCTTTCTGTTGGACAAGCTCTGTGTTGTGCTTGGGAGACTGAACCCATCTCAGCCCCAGGGAGCTTCTTTGGAGGGCTGCTCCTGAGTGTCCACTGCAGTCCTCATCCCTCTCATACCCACTGCAAAGAGGGAGGGGCCAAGTGTAAGGAGGCAGCCGCACGTGCAGCTCCCTACGGGAACACCTCGAGTCCCCGTTTGCATGTGGGATCTGTGAAGGAGTCCCAGATCGCAGGAACGGACTGAGCATCTGAGAGGTGCTTGGTGTGGGACCCCCCACATGCCCTTTAACATGTGGTTCATGTGCTGTGAAGATTTGGTGTTTTCTGTTTAGATGAAATTTAACCTATAAGTATCTCTGGGATTTAATAAAGTTATTATTCAATAAAAACCATGTATGCATTAATAGCTTCATTTTAAGACTTTCAAGGTGACCACAGTGTTAACAAGAGAGCAGCACCCGCCATGATGGTGGCACAGCACTGGGTGGTGAGGCGCCTTGTGTACGGGGTACCTAAGGAGCTCTTGCTTGTGTCAGTGTGTGGTGAGCTGGTTTATGGAAGATCATCAAACCTGCTTAGTACTTGCTTTCTCTATGTACTTACCTCCCCCACCCTTTGAGAGAGGGTCTTGCTGCGTAACCCAGGCTACACAAACACGCCATCTTTCCTTCCTAGTCTCCATAGTGCTGGGACTATGCCTGGAGTGTTCCTATTATTTTTCAAACAGTTGTTGCTAATATAATTTACAGACTGTAAAAGTGCTTGCTGGACACCCACAGCTAAACACTGAGCTGAACTCTGGAATCCAGTTGCAGAGAGGGAGGAGTGATGAGCAAAGGGGTCAAGACCAGGCTGGAGAAACCCACAGAAACAGCTGACCTGAGCAAGGGGGAGGGAGCTCATGGACCCCAGACTGGGAAACCAGCATAGGACAGTTCCAGTCCCCTGAACATGGATGTTAGTTTGGAGGTCTGGTTAATCTATGGGGCCTCTGGTAGTGAATCAGTATTTATCCCTAGTACACAAATGGACTTTGGGAGCACACTCCACATAGAGTGATGCTCTCTCAGCCTAGATACATGGGGGAGGGTCTAGGCCTTGCTCCAAATGATATGACAGACTTTGAAGATCCCCCATGGAATGTCACCCTCCCTGGGGAGCAGGAAGGGTATGGGATGGGGGCCGGTGGGGGGCAGGGGAGGAGGGGAGGGAGAGGGAACTGGGATTGGCATGTAAAACAAGCTTGTTTCTAATTTAAATAAAAAAGTACTTGCTGTTCAGGGTTCGGCAGCCACTGCCCCAGTAAGTTTCCCAAAGATGCCTGGTGTCCACTGGCAGCCTCTCCCTTTGCACCGTGTAACTATCCCTATGTATCCTCAGGATGGCTTCACCATCCACCCGTCTTCTCTGGCTTCAGGCTTGCTTGCTCTGAACATGTCATGTAACTGGAGTCATATCTTAGCAGTCACCGGCAACTGACTTTCCTCACTTAGCATAACGATATTCAGAGGTCTATCTACGTTACACCATGTATCAGCCAGCACTCCTCTCCTTTTCATGACTGAATAGTATTCCACCACACGGATCTATGGTGTTACATTTGTTTATCCACCTGCCAGCTGATAGGCTTTGGGGTTGAGTTCAAGATTTGGCTGGAGCAATAATATTAAGATTATTGATTCAAATTCGCAGTTTCCTGATTGCCGAGGAAATTGGGAACTTTCAGACCATTTATTGGTCATTTGTGTTTCTTGTATTTCTTTTTTGTTCAGTTCATTGACCAGTTTGTCTAGTAACTTTTACTGGTATTTAATTTTTGCAGTTTTAGTATATCACATATATGACTCCCTGTAATGGTTGATTTTAATGCCAACTTGCTGTACATTAGAATCAAAGGGAACCTCACCTGAAGAAGTGTCTGCCCTGATTGGAGTGGCAAGACCTGCCCCAATTGTGGGTGACACTTTTTGGCATTGGTGTGGATCAGAAGGGCGTGGTAGAAGGGAGCTTATTCACTCACTTGACCTCCCCCTTGTGGCTGAATGGATTTGCTCATTGCTGCTGCTGCTGCTAATTCCATCATGGACAGCAGAACCAGCATTTCCAGGCTTTCGTTGAGGACTAAGGACTAACAACTCCCTAGGAACCTTCTGGGCTTCCAGCCCCAGATTGGGCATTGGGCCTGCTGAGGTACCACCCTTGTGCACTGAGAAACTACCAGCATCAATGAGAGACAGCCATTGTGGGACTCCTAGTGCTGAGGCACCAGCCTCAGGGACTGAGTAACTCCTGGGTTCTCAGCTCTTAGCTGTCATCCTGCTGTTGTTTCTACCTAAAGCTGACCTAAATTATTCTGCCATTTATCTGTTGTCTGTCTCTCTTGCTATCATCCATCTATCTATCATCTATCTGTCTGTCTGTCTGTATGGTAATTCAAATGATAATTCCCACCCTGCCCCCAGACTCATATATTTGGATGTTAGGTCCCAGTTAGGGAAACTTTTTGGGAAGGATTAGGAAGTGTGTTCTTGCTGGGGTAGGTGTGGCTTTGTTGAAGAAAGTGTGTCACTGGGGACGGGTGGAGTGGCATTTGAAGTTTCAAAAGCCCATGTCAAGCCCAGTCTCTCTCTACCTGCTGCCTGTGGATCAGATACAAAGCTCTCAGCTGCTTCTCCAGTATCAGGCCTGCCCACCTGCCACCCCGTTCCCCACCATGATGATTGAAGCTATAAGCAAGCTCCCAATTAAAGGCTTTGCCAAACAAGTTGCCTTGGCCATGGTGTCTCCTCACAGCAATAAGACAGCAGCTGGTACCGGGAGTGGACGTTGCTGTGAGAAGCGCGACTGTGCTGTGTGTTGGAGGGAGATGGACAACTTTGGACTTGGAACCAGGCAAGTGGCTGAATGCTTTAAGCATGGCTTAATGGACCTAGTAGGAGCGTGGAGGACATTAGTGCTGAGTATTATGTGGGCTATGGAGGCCCATCTCAGCAAGTTCCTGAGGGGGAGAAATATTAGCACATGGCACAGAGAGTGTTCTTGTGATATTCTTTATCACCAGCTGCCTGGGTCCCACCCCTGTCTCAGCCCCCAAATAACACACGGGACACTATATTAATTATGAAGCTGTTGGACGTTTGCTATGGTTTCTTAATGGCTAGCTCTGACTTAATTATTAACCCATAATTACTAATATATATTTTTATAAGGTCTTTTCTTACTGAGGACGCCGGGCTCATGCGTCCTCTCCTGCCGGGATCACGTGGCAACTCTCCACTCTTGACTACATTTCCCAGACTCCTCCTCCTCTCCTAGTCCCATGTATCTTGTTTCCCTATTGGCCAAAGGTGTTTTATTCATTAACCAATAAGAGAGGCATACACACAGAAGGACTTCCCCCATCATTTCAGCAAAGAATGTGGCTGCTTCTTACCCTTCTTTTAAAAACCTTCCTGAATGTAGTTGAAGAGTTTCGTATTAATTCCTTGGCAGAGGAGATTTCAAGATGGTCTAGTATTGACTGTGTCACATGGACACCAGTGACCACTCTTACACAGTCAACAATGAAAAAGAGGGAGCAGGCAAAGAGAAACACAAAGCGTACAGTTTGAGGAGTTTAAAGAAAGGCTTGTTTCAAAATGGAACAGAGGGAGTGGCAACCTCAGAGCAGGACCCATCCAGTTAACCTGCAACCTGTGCAAGAAAAGGCTTGAGGGATTTTCTAGACTTAAACCACCACAGAAAGCTTATGCAGGTGAAAATCAAAGGGTTGGGGGAAGTTTGCAGCCCCAGTGAGCTGAGCATGGCAGCCTTGACCACAAAGCTTAATCAAGGAGCATACAGGAAGGAGGGACGCGGAACCTTCCTCTGTGACTGGAGGAAGCTGCAGAGGCCAGCTGTGAGGCAGGGGTGACCCAAAGAGATGGTTGCATGAAGCTGGGAAGGCAATGTCTGGATTACACTGGAGACTCCCAAGGTGTTGGAGATGCCAGAGCCGTGGGATACCTGTCAAGGAAGGCTGCTAGCAGGGAATGGAACCGGGCCACGAGAGAAGCGTGATGTAGTCAATGAAACTGGAAGGAGTTGGAGATCTGAAGAACATTTTGACATCATACACGAGGAGGCAGAATTTGGAGTTTGCCCAGCTGGGTTCCAGTCTTCCTCTGGTCCAGTATTTCCTCACTCTGCCCCCCTTTCCTCCCTTTTGAAATGGTAATGTATATCCTGTGCCACTGTATGTTTGAAGTATGTAATTTGCTTTTTGATTTTACAGGGGATTACAGTGAAGAGATTGCCTTGAGTCTCAGAGATTTTGAACTTTAAAACATGTTGAGACTGATAGAGACTTTTGAACTTGGACTAAATGCATTTTGCATTGTGATATGACTATAAAGCCTATGGGGGGCAGGGGCAGAATGTGAGGGTTGGAATGAGAATGACCCCATAGGTTCATTTGTTCGAATGCTTGGTCCCCAGTTAGTGGAATTGTTTGGGAAGGATTATAAGGTGTGGCTTTGTTGGAGAAAGCATGCCACTGGGGTGAGCTTTGAGGTTTCAAAAGCCCATGTGAGGCCCAGTGTCTCTCTCTACTTCTCCGTCACCATGCCTGCCGGCCTCTCCGCTCCCAGCCATGATGATAATGGACTAACCCTTGAAGCTGTAAGCCAGACCCCACTTAAATGGTTTCTTGTATATGTTGCCTCGGTGATGGCGTCTCTTCACAGTCCTAGAACACTGAGATGATGGACGTGTATGTGTACACACAAACCACATCCCATTCATTGGCTATTCTCTTCTTGAGAGCTCCGACTCACACAGCCTATTTACAGGAGACAAGCTGAATGTCTGAATTTGCAGTTTTCTTTGTAGAGTGTTGCTGGTGTGCAGCTGGAAAGTACTCCCCACCCTCAAGCCTGGGGCAGGCAGTGGAACCCAGAGCCTCACAAATGTCTAGCCAAGTGCTCTACTACCCAGTCCTGAAGATGGTGTTTTAAATTAGGTCCTTGAGTTGTTATTTGAGAAGTTGTGTGTATTAGTCGGGGTTCTCTAGAGAAGAAAACTTACAGGCTGTATCTCTGCATAGGAAGAGCATTGATTAGAATGACTCACAGGCACTAAGCCAACAATGGTTGCCTATGAACACAAGGTCCTAAAGTCCAGTACTTGTTCAGTCCATGAGTCTGGATGTCTCAGCTGGACTCCGTGTATGATGGAACCCTGAAGAGGTGGGCTCTAATGCTAGTGCAGGAACGGGCTTGCCAGTGAGAGTGAGGGCAAGCAGGCAAAGAGAGAGCTTCCTTCTTCCATGTCCTTATATAGGCTGCCAGGAGAAGGTGTGGTCCTACCGCAAAAGGTTTGGATTAGAGATGTGTCTCCCCACTTCAAAGAC